AAAAAAAAAAGATTTTTAGTGAATTATCTCTGCATTAGTATAGAATTCTCGTTTTAAAATTTTATGAAGACTTGTACATTTCTAATTGTTACTTTTCTTCTTCTAAAATAGCTATTTTCAGAAATAAATTATCACTTTACCATCATAGATTGATAAACGAATCATTGAATGGACAATTTGTTTCTTGAAAATGATATAAAACTGTTGCACAAAGTAATTGCAAATTCAAGTAAACCAACATTTTTTTACCTGCGTAAATATTAAAAATGATATGTGACTTGATATTTATTTGCACTTTAAATTTGTTTTAATTCAGTTTTTTCTTTACAATTGATTGGCTTTTTGTGAAATTAATTAACAGAACTTTTGAGTTTCTACCAAAAATTCGCTTCTATGTGCATTTTTTCAGGGTTTGCGAAGTTCTATTGAATTTGTTCTTTTTTCTTAAAATAATATTATTAACAAAAAACTCGTAATAAATGAATAACACCAAAGAATATTTGATTTTCGCTTTCATAAATGGGATTTTTGCTTGTTTGATTTCATTACGCACAACTAGAATCTTTTTTCTTGCATTGGTGACAAAATGGAGCAAAAGTTCAGAATAAATTAGAAGGGCCAATATTATAGATATTGCATTAAAGTACAAATGTCAGATATCGAACAGAATCCTTAAACACATTTCTTTTTAACCTTATTTTCCACTTTTTCCCCTCGAGCTGATTTGTAATAAATTAAAGTCGTTTACGAGTAAGGAATTTACCTGTCTTTGAAATAATTCTTGTGCTTGATCTAACAATAACAGACTAAGTCATAGTAAATCCGAAGTTATAATGGTAGTTCTATTTTTAAAATTAATATCATTCATAAATGCGTATGAATGATATCAATTAGCAATTTGTTTGCTTAATATATATTTTTAGAACACTTCTCTCTGATGCACAACATCTGCATTTAAGGCATAGCTATTTTTTAGAATGTTAGCTGCTTTACATATATCCTGTATTCCCCTTTTTTCCAACTCTCCAATTTTTCCAACACACATCTTAAGCTAACTGGTTATTATACTACTAATTCAATTTCAGTATAATTAAATTATAATTTTTCACTATTTTATGTTTACCTTAAAGATACCTTTCATTATGTATTCATCAAATTTTTAAATCATGTTGGAGCAGCTATTCAAAATTTCTAATTTTTTTATTTTCTACCATATCAAAACGCAATGAAGATTTCGCAAAAATGAACAGATTCGTGTTTTATTCTAAACTTAGAGAACAAAGAATAGATAAAATTTTTAAGATTCTGGGATTATAATAAACAAAATATTAAGTCCGTAATAATTCTGGAAGAGTTTTAAGCATTATCACAAAATGTAGCTTGTGAAGTTCCAAAATCGCAAAAACTAATAAATTTCGCTATTAATTTCTGAAAATAAGTATCGTTTCAGTTGATTTACTAAAATTTATAATTACATAGAGCTTAGAGAATGTTGAAAAATGCCCCTGACCGATAAAGTATGAAAACACGGATATATGATAAACATGAGGCAGTCTGTATTATAAATTACCAATTGCGCGTATTTTGATGGATTAAAATATTGGACAAAGTTATATGCGTCAGTAAAAATGCGACAAGAAAAATCTCTTAAATGGTTTTGATCGTTTTATTTATTTTTTGACAATATGATCAAAACGTAAACAATTGATTTGATGATTTTGAGCTTTTGGAAATATGAGACAAGAAATTTTGGAATTTTTTCATATGCAGCGACGCGCACAATGTGTCCTTTGTTTCTTTATTTTTTGAGGCATAATTCTAAACAATTTCTATCTTTTATTACTGATATCAGCTTGATGTGAACTACAAATTAAAAGCTACAAATTAAAAGTTAATTCTGATACACTGTAAATATTGTTATCCTTGTTGGGTGTGGAGCAAATATGCCCATTCAACTTTCGTTACGTAATTATATTGAGTGTATCTGTTTTTTCTTGTTAATTTCTAATTTGTTCCTCAAAATAGTAGAAACTTTTTTTAAAAGTTATTTTCATGCTTAGAATATTTTTTAATCGATAGGTTTGTCTAAATCGGTTAGAGGCTCAATTTTATAGATGTATTGGTTTTCCAATACATCCATAAATTGATACTTTTTAATGGGTTGGTAGTTCTTAAAATTTCAAAAAACTCATTAATGTTTTTTATGGATTTGAAGTTTGAAATAGTTTGAAAAATATCTAGTCGATAGAATTTTTTAAATTTATGTAAATCTGAAATTATGTATAAAGTATAAAATTTAAAATAACTTAAATGGTTTATGAAATCGAAGCTTTATAGAAGTTACAAAAGATGTTGTAATAAATCAAGCTCTCATAAATCGTGGACCTAGAAAAATACAAAAAAATACAAATAGGCAGTAGCTACTAAAGAGAAAATGTGCTTTCCAGTATACCAAATGTATTAAATTACGGTAACAAGTTTTTTCTTTATACTTAAGTTTAATTCCGATTAATTATTTTATAGTTTAGCCACATGTAATTTGAAAATCCAAATTTGAGGACTAAGTTTAGGGTGAAATAATTTAGTTTTTTCCTTTTACTTGTCAACTTGACATTAAGAAATACGTCAGGAGATAAGTTTCAGTTTATTTCACAGCGATTTAACCTGTACAGATTTCATTTCTTTGTTATCAGTCACACATGGATGCTTTGTAATATATTGTAATGCATTATCAACATAATATTTTGAACGTTATATGTTTTTCAATAACTCTAAAATTTTAGATTTGCTTTGTGGAAGTTATATACAATCTTTTATTCTTGTAATTCTAATTTATCACAAAAATTGGGAAATTTTAATTTTTTCATATACTCAGACTAAAATTGACTTATGTTCTTATTCTAAACTATGATGCTTACATCATTAGAATTACAATTTGCATGCTTCAGAAGCCTATATCTCTCAGTTACTTGCTAGGTTAATTATCAAGTAATATCTTAATTTTTCCTCTACGGTTCTTTCATTCTTCAACCAAAGTCCATAACGTAATTAGTTAAATTCACTTTACTATAAAATTTCAGATTTTTACATTACTGATACAGTACTGTAAAATGACATTTGAACTGGTACAGTAAAAATAATTTCAAATTTGTTACATTTGAAATTTTACATCTTTTTTTGAGATAGAGAAGAGCGTTTAAATTTCATTTTCATTAGTGATTAATAATAAATTATTATTTAATTGCAGATACTTCACCGAGCATGTTTTCATTGCTGGCTTTGTCTATGTATATCTTAGCAAATATGAATGCACTCGAAAAGGTATTTTCTTTCCTTACAATTGAATGGTTTTTCAATCTTTCATTTTTGCGTTACCTTCTCGAAATTGGACCCACAAGAATTCTTCAAAATATTCAAGTATGAGGAAATTACAGTAACTTGAATCTTAGATGTATTTCGAATTCGATGTATTTTTATTTCTATGAAATGTTATCTATTTATTACTATTATTGTTATTAAATTCCTTGTCTTTCCTTGCTTAAATATATAAGTGAAACAAAAAAATTCAGTCTGTTGAATAACGACTAATCATGCATTGTGCAATAGTTTCGACGAATTTTTTTCAATGACCATCGTGATAAGTGCATCCAAACATTATTCTTTAAGCTATGGCTATTTTCAACATCGTATATGGTATGACAATGTATAATGGGGTTTCTGTCAACCCAAATAATCACTGAACAAGTGGAGAAGAATTTTCAGTGCTGTTCCATATAGATCAGCGTTGACTTAACATATCACAGTCATTGCTTTAGCTGTTATTCACTCTAAATAGTGAACTATTATATTTATACCTAAAAAATATATTTTCTAAGTCTGCTCAAATAAATTATGAAGCTGACAAATTTATCTACTTCTGGCTGTTGTTGAGATTCCAATAATTTGTCTCTCAGTTAACAATACACAGTGTGAAAAATTGAAGTTCCAAACTCAACATTAATAGCAAATTTACTTATTAGCGTAGTGTTTGTAAAAATGAGTTGAAATTATTTAACTTTAACTGACTTGGACCAGCATCATTTTTTATAGTTATTGTGCTGAAAATCTTAATTGTCAATAACGGTAAAAAGAGCAAAAAACTTTTACAGGGATTAATATGAAATAACATTATATAATATTCTCGAATTATTAGTGAAGATATATTGTAACACTAATCTTATGCTATAAAAATCCTAATTATTTTTATTGTCATATCTGATCACTTCTTTTACGACAAAATTCCGAATTCTGCACGATCAACTAAAGGAAGAATTCAATGTTTTTAACTCAAAACGGATCATTTTTATTTCACTGATTTTCATAATGCTTATTTAGACAAAATTTTATCTCACATTAGTTAGACAAATTCTCCTCATTTTTTTTCTTTTCCTTTAACATTAAGCATTTTGAAAGTTTTTTAATTTGACTTGACGGTTATATAAATTAAGAACTTTAAAATATTTGCTAACAAACTAAAATTAACAAATTATATGTTTCTGAATTTATGGCCCACGTGAAGCAGGTTAAACAGGTTATTGAAGAGTGTTTATGTGTTTATGGTATGACTTTTCCAGTATTATAAATCAAAATAGATTTTTTTTAGTGAAATGGATAAATTGTCTTCTAATATATGGAAATTTTGACATTTTGGAAGTTTTCTTCAAATTTGTAACTTCGAATACGCAAATTCCTAGCTGCCTATGAGCAGTTTGACATGATTTTTATGTGCGAAACAATAGTAAAAAAAAGAAAAATCATATATTTATCGAATTATTATACTGTTTTCTATGCATTAGTGTCGGTTGCAAATGTTAATTTTCGATTTCTTATAACTTTTGTCTATTTTAGCGAGAAACTTCCATCACTTGAAAAATATGTGATTATAAGGATAGATCAGTAATAAAAAATCACAAATCGATAAAGAGGAAATTTCGTGACAATTATTCACATCATTTCAGCAAATGTCTGAGGATGTTGCATATTTGCAATCAACAAATGTACGGCATATTAGGATACCTGGTGACGTTATCATAGGTGGAGTTTTCCCAGTTCACTCAAAAAGTGATTCACCGGATCAGCCTTGTGGTGTTATTGCCGAGACACGGTTTATTTTCCTGAATTTTTTGAAAAGTTTGCATTTTGAGATGAGAAAATCAGAATGTATTAGAACGTGAGATTACATATTGAATCAGAATAATCACATATTCAATATGCAAATAACGAATAAGTGTCACAAAGTAACGAGTGGAACGATGAAAAAATTCTTTTTTAATTGATGATTGAAATGTTTTTTAAGAGGTGTACACAGAGTGGAAGCAATGTTGTATGCATTGGATGTTATCAATTCTCAGCGTGGATTTTTGCGCGGCTATAAGCTGGTTTGTTATTTTGCTCCTTTTTTATTCAATTAAGCTTCTCAAAATTGATTAATGTTCACCTGTAAATTTTAAAAGATGAAAATTAAAACGTAAAATAGTATCTGCTAAGTTTCGACATGGTGTGAACTATACATATGTGTTCGATTGACAGAATTCTCAAGTCACTTTATTGATTTATATAGTTTCGAGTTAATAAAAAAAGTGATGAAATAAAAAGTTTCGCTGTGTTTCGTCTCACTTGAACGGATAGAATAATTCTTTAATATCATGCATTCCTATCTGAATATGGCTTTAGTATTATAGAAATGTTTGTATAATGTAATATTAACCGAAAGATTTGCAATGATTTATGATGCCTTCCTTCCACTCGATACCCACGATACGCAACGACGAATCTCGATTTAATTTTATTTTAATAATGCATATTACTGTGAATGATTCTTCAGGGCGCTCTTATATTGGATTCATGCTCAAATCCAGCTTATGCTCTCAATCAGAGTCTTGACTTTGTCCGTGATATGATTGGCTCAGCTGATTTGTCCGAATATCAGTGTCGTGATGGCAGTGTTCCGCAGAGTCGACAGTTACCACGCAAAAATGTTGCTGCAGTTGTTGGTGGAAGTTATAGTTCCGTTACTGTTCAGGTAGAGCCGATACCGTTTTAAAATAAGAATAGATAATTTTTTATCATACATGTATTTCAATCAGCAAAATATAGTTTAAAAACTGATTTACCGAATGGTGCGGTGACTAATATATATCCAATAGTATAAATAAATAATTCAAATACTTAAATTTTTGAAAATCAGGAATTTGGTAAAATTTTAAGTAGTGAGGTGAAAATGGAATCCAAATATATACATATTATCAGTTGTAAACCGGAGACTTGTTTGCCTTATCTTTTAGGTAGCTAACCTTTTGAGACTATTCAAGATAGTTCAAGTGAGTCCAGCGAGTACCAATGCAGATCTCAGCGACAAAACACGTTTCGAGTATTTTGCTAGGTAAGGCCTTTCGTGTTACGATTCGATTTATATCTGTGACATCTTGCACTTTTAATGTTAAATACTTCAGTGATCTGATGATAACTTCTACGAGATATTTTCTGTTATTCTTATGTTTAATTTTAATTCTTAATTTATATTTTCTCAAATCTAACTGTTCAACTAATCAGTTTTTTTAAGGACGGTGCCCAGCGATAATTATCAAGCACGTGCAATGATTGACATTGCACTGCACTTCAATTGGACCTATGTATCCTTGGTGTACTCAGCAGATGAATATGGTGAGCTTGGTGCCGAAGCTTTCAAGAAAGAAGCACGCAAAATGAATATCTGTATTGCTATCGAGGAGCGCATATCACCCAAGAAAGAAGCATTTCAGGAATCTGTTGATAATCTTGTTAAAAAGTAATTCTTTTGCTAATAAGCGCTAAAAAATAGATCAAAATTTCTAGAAAATTTCAATGAACTCTTTGTTTTTCATTGCTTTATTTTGTTCGATGGAAATAACGCGGATGTGCCTAATTTTATCTAAGTATTAAAATTTGCATCTATTTGAATTTTGAACATTATCTGATTCTTCATTGTGACTAATTCAGTATTTTGAATTCTGTGGTAATGGTAATGGGATATATGAAATTGCAAATGAACATTCATGACTTGCAGTGGTCAAGAGATCACTGTAAAGTTTACTTTCAGAATTTCTAAACTAACTTTTTTTTTCTAAAAAAAAAAACTAATCAATAATTATAAATAAATTCATATGTCTTCATTTTATAGATTGCAACCAGATAAAGTCGTTGGAGCACGTGCTGTCGTGCTGTTTGTTGGCACGGAGTATGTACCGGAATTGATGCTGCAAACATTCGAACGTATGCGTTTGGAGCAGTTACCACATCGTAAAAAGATTATTTGGTTAATTCTTACTTTAAAAATTATCAGCTATCATAGTCAATCATTTTTTAATTGCAGTTTCAGATAAAGAATCGTGATCTCATGAATAAATCATGTTCGAAATTTCATTTATTTTACAAATACTAAGCATTATTTGTTTCGAAAGAATTTTGGCTCTCGATTAAAGAATCAGGTTATGGACATTTCTGGTGAATGAACTATCAAAAAATAGCACTGAGCGAATTTTATTACAAATTTTTCTTAAATTTTCAAAAGAATGTTAACCGGATCAGCTTAAAGGCTTGCGAGTGAAGGTTGGGATCGAAACAATGAAGCATATACATCAGGTCCAAGGAAGCTGGCAGCAGAGGGCGCTATTGTTTTGATGTTAGCTTCCGATCGTGTTCCTTCATTTGAAGAAGTCAGCTTTTTCCTTTCTTTTATGGAAAAGTGTTTGCAGAAGTTCACTTCACATTTTTTGTGAAGTGAATTTCTGCAAAGCGTTGATTGCTTTAGTCGTAATACAACAATGATTATCGAGCTATTCTAACTTGTTTCTTACAGTATTTTTTATCCTTAAATCCGGGTCATCACAAATTCGAACGGAACAAATGGCTGAGAGAACTATGGCGTCACAAATTCAACTGTGAATTTGATTTACCTGAACAGAGTACATTAAATCGGTAAGATCTTTATGTATGGAATGAAGTCATATCGAAAACTATTTTCTTTCAGCTTCCATTTTTATATCTTTTTTTCGGAGATATTTTCTTAGGTGTGAAGATCATCGTCAAACTGCGGAAAACTTCAATCCAGATGATAAGGTTCAGTTCGTTATTGATGCAGTGTATGCCATTGCTTATGGATTGCAGGTTTTTCTCTTTGTAGTATTATGTTAGTCTGAACAAAATAATTGAATTCTGTTCGGAACAGAGTAGATTATTGTCAAATGTCTGCAATTTTGAATGAAAGTGCAAGAAGCAAAATATTTATGATATTTTATAACTTAAAACTTTCAATTTAAATTAAACCTTGTTTTGATTGGTGTTAAATACTCTCTGATAGGGAATGAAAGAAGAAATATGTCCTGACGATACCGTATTATCCTCGTGGATATCAAGACATTCAAATGCACCACAGATTTGCGATGCCATGAAACATATTGATGGCGAAGAGTTTTACCAAAAATACTTGCTACAAGTAAAATTTGAAGGTGATAACATTTTATCAAAGCAAAAGAGTGCACGACAATTTTCTGAAAAAAAATTAAATCTATCATCATTTTTAAAAAAATCTAAAACAATCAAAGCAAACTTTTTTAAAAAACCTCTAATAAATGAGAAAAGGATGAAAAAATTCGAAAAGAAATTTAAAAAAGATAAGATAAAGGAATCTGACCAAAAAAAAAAACGAAGAAATCGAAGAGTTTGGAAGCAAATTTGAAATTAAAATCACATAAATCCAACAAGGACAGCTCATACGGTAGCTCCAAAAGTTTGAAAAATAAGGTAAAAGTTGTAAGAAAAGACAATGAAAGAAAGTCATAGTCACACTGCTTGTGGAATTTAATTCAATGAAAACAGCAAATTAAGAAAAAGCATGACCAAATATTTTACTTTAACCTTCCAATATTCAGATGAATGAATGATCATTTCTCGCATGTACTTTTGATCAAAATGAATAATTTTTGAAGCACATATTATTTGTAAATATTTTAGATGCAGTAGGCAAAAAATTTCGATTTAGCTCAAAAGGCGATGGACCAGCGCACTATACAATTTTAAATTATCAGCCAGAAAATGGTCGAAGAAGGTGAAATTTACTGAAGATATCAAAAATCTTAAATTTTGAAACGATCGAATTGGATGATTTAGAAATTGTGACATTGGCTACAACTTCCTATCTTTTTATTATCTTTTCTGCTACACATACTTCAGATCCGATGATTCTAGTCGAAGTGATTACGTGGTTGTTGGACGATGGTCCGAAGAACATGTTTGTACACTTCTTAATAATTTTGCTTTAAATGTTCTCTTTGTATATATTCTGATATAGAATTATGCCAAAATTAGTTGGTCTAAATAACGAATGCATAAGTAGCCCATGAGCCGGTTTCTTAGATTCCATGGAGTAACCACTTAAGGTCACTTTCAATTCTTTAGGCTTTTTCCAATGTTGTTCTTGCAGTTAGACATAGATGACGAAAAGATGTTCTGGGAATACGGAGAAATACCAATATCACAATGCAGTATGCCATGTCCAATTGGTTATCGTAAGCAGCTCATCAAGATTAGTTTACATCGTTAACCATTAATTATTGCAACATCTGTCTGTCTTATGCTCACTCCTTTTTGCGTGCAGAATTAATTGCCTTTGCCGATAGTAAAATGTGCTGCCATGGATTATTGAATGATTCTGGTACTTTCAAAGCGAAATCAAAGCGCTGTTTTTGGAAGTTATTGGTTTTAGGATGAAATATGTTGTTGGGCTTGCGGTAAATGTGAAGATTATGAATTTTTGGCAAATGAAACAACCTGTGTAGATTGTGGTGAAGGTTGGTGGCCGACGGCTGATCGCAAAAGCTGCTTTAATTTGGCTCAATTTAATCTGAAATATATAAGATGGTCTTCTTGGTACGATATTATAGTCTAATTACTTCTTTCATTTTTATCAAATAAATATCCAAGATGTGTGTATTTTTTTCAGGTATTCAATAATACCTATCTTGTTTGCTGTTATTGGTATTTGCTCAACAATTGCTGTGATTGTCATATATTCGAGGTTTGCATCCTTACGAATATTTAAAAAGCGAATATTGAAAAGGTAGTAATCACCGCACTGTTATTAAGCAGTTAACTCAACAATACTTCTTGATGATTTCTGATTCTTCAAAACTAATTTTCGAATGAAGTAGGATTATTTTATATAATTGACATGTCCACTTTAAACCAGCAAAAATGAATGAATTACCACATGGTAGTTTGAGTTTGCTGGTGACTTCAGAATTTCAGTCTGTTGGTTCGTACTGGGGCATTTTAATGCTCTCATAATCAGCAAGTTCTTCAGAAGCAAAATTATATCACTACTTTACCACAAGTTAACTTTTTGATTCAAGCTTGCACTGTGATTGAGAAGGTAGCAGTTTTTGATAAAAATCATGATCATATTTTTGTCCAGTGGAATACCTCAAACTTGGGTAATTGAAGATTTATCACAATAATTAATTAGCGCAACTAACTGCAAGTAAATGCAATACTTAATAAGGGAATGGTTTTATAGATGGTTATAAATAGATGATTAGTATTAATAAAAAATTAGTTAATTCATGGCAAGCAAACAAGATACATACAGTCACAAAAAAAGAGAAAAGTGTTAAAATCGCCCGGTGAAGTTGAAGTTCTAATTTTACATAACTTTCTAATAGCTGCTGTATTTGCATCTATGAAAAAGGGTTCTTTCAACATTGAAAACTTTTGGTGTAAGATATTAAAAAATGACTTGTATTACAGGAATTACGATACACCGGTGGTAAAAGCATCAGGACGTGAGCTCAGTTTTATTATACTGGTGGCAATGATTATGTGCTATGCAATGACTTTTGTACTCATCTCTAGGCCAACCGCTTTCAACTGTGCCATTAAAAGGACTGGTAATTTTTCAAAATTTTGCTTTCCTGTGTTCCTTGGAAACTCTCAGTTGACCTTATTCCGAGAATATATATTTATATCTTTCTTTTTTCTTTCAGGTATTGGATTTGCTTTCTCATGTTTATACGCAGCTCTTCTGGTTAAAACCAACCGCATAGCACGGATTTTTTCACATCGTTCAGTGCAGCGACCAGTATGCATCTCACCTATATCGCAAGTCTTTTTAACAGCATTTCTTGCCGGCTTTCAGCTTTTTGGATCGCTTATTTGGCTTCTCATTGTTCCACCCGGTAAATTCTCATTTCTTTACAATTATTGATTTGAATCGGAATTGAGTCAAATACATTTTACAGTCCGATGGAATAACAAAGGTCTTCTCTGATATTGTTTAGGTACGAAACATCATTATCCAACTCGAGATCAAGTTGTGCTCAAATGCAACATTCCGGATCATCATTTCCTTTATTCGCTGGCTTATGATGCTGCATTAATTGTCTTATGTACTGTTTATGCGATCAAAACTCGCAAAGTGCCAGAGAACTTCAATGAAACACGTTTTATTGGCTTCACAATGTATACAACATGTGTTTTGTGGCTTTCATGGATATTTTTCTTTTTTGGTACGGGTAGTGATTTTCAGGTCTGTCATTTAATAGATGTTAATTGAAATCAAATTCTAATCAAATTCTTTTGTTGAATTTTAAAAGTTGCAAATTGCTATATAAAGAATTATGTCCGCCAGAAACTCATGCGGAATATTTTTGTGCTTTATTTTTATAGAAAATTTTTGAGTATTTTAAGAATAATTGCACTAATTAGACGAAGTCAAAAATTAATTTGAATAACAAAAAGAGAAAAAAAAATTTGATCGAAATAATGGTTGTTGTTTTCAGATACAAACGACATCATTATGCATGTCAATATCGATGTCTGCAAATGTTGCATTAGCGTGTATCTTCTCGCCGAAAATATGGATTATACTATTTGAAAAGCATAAAAATGTACACAAACAAGACGGCGTATTTACAAAAAGGTTTGTTTATATTTATTTTAGATTTCAAAAATTGAAATAGTCAGTTCAAATATTGAATTAGTGTTCCATGGTTTCCTTGCACAGAATAAGGACAATATAATTGATATCGAAATATTGAGGATAGAAGATCTAGAGAGCAATAAAAAAAGCAAAAAATACTCGCGTTAATCATCCAAGGACGAATGTCTGATCTATATATAGTTTAATCGGTAGATTTATTAAACTGGTTCGTAGACTTTGTTGTCGAGAGCCAGAAATGAATAGCGATGTCAAGAGCATCACTATTGGGAGATCACGCTGGTGCACTGAATGATCGCAAAACTCTTACGATCTTCAGATTGAAGATGCTCAACATGTGGATGCCGAAAATTTCTGATTAGCAGTTTTAGATTAGCAAAAATGTTTCATCTATCAGTTAACAATCGTTTTAGATTAGTGTTAGCTACAATATTCGGAAAATTTTCCCACCCACATGTTCAATATTTCCATAGTTATCGTCATTTGAAAAAATCAGAAAAAGAACCACAGGAAAAGAAAAAAATATGTACCTCTACAAGTGCTTAATGTTTGTTTCTCAATGTGATGAAAATGTCAGGTAAAATTTGAGAGTACCATAGTTTGATCTGGTTGAATTTATTGTTTCATAATTCCATTATTTGTTTAAATAATTGAATTTAGTCTAATTTTAATTATTAATCTAGGAATCGTACACCTATAAATATGCTTGACAAGGAAGCACCTACACAATATATCGCTCTGTTATCTGAGGAACGGAGGAAAAATTCGGTTAGAAACTCTTATTACAGCATCTCATCCTCTGGACATGATACATTCTTGTAAAATAAATATGAGAAATGGTCGGACTTTTTTGTTGCAAAATTGTTTAGATAATAATTACATCTCATAATTTGTGTTTTGAGTCGTTCGATATTTATATATGTCGTTTTGCAATGTGAATATTGTTTGTTTGTTCAAATAAAATTTCATTAGTTTGTTTTTACCTATGATTTTATGGAAAAGATTATGATTTTTGCTCCTCGAATTGTGCAATTGTTCTTTTGAAAACAGAATAAACTTCTAATAAAACTAAATGTGTTGAATAAAAACGATGTTTGAAATTGATAAAAAATTGAAAAAAATTTTGTGAAGCAATATTTTTTTTTCACTGACTTTTAATGACTGCAAGATTATTTCTGAAGATTTTCTTATCGTGATTTTTTTTCACTTGGATAAGGAGAGGATAACAACAAAAAGTGGGATAGAAGTACAGTAACCTTTCAAAAATATATAGAACTAGTAGTACATAACCTTTTTAGTATGACAGATGCCTTTGTTGTTAAATAATTCAGTTAGCTTGGTGAATTCTTCTAAAAATTCTTGCCGGTAGCTCAGTTTGAGTCCAAAATTAATCATGGAGACTGGGTGTCAGAGATCATTACATACCTTTATGAATGTATCAAATTCTCCAGATAATCATTTAACATCACAGCGCTGAACTTCTTTCATTTTTAGTGCAAGACTTTTTTTTTAAATTTTGCTCAGTTGTTTTCTCACTTTTGAATAATGTGCAAAACTTTTCCAAATAATAATTTGTTAAGTTTGGATAAAATACATTGTTGAAAACCTTTGTCATTTACAATGTCTTCATTTTTTGGCTTTCTTTTGAGCAATCCAAAAAATAACGCTAATCAAGCAAAACCGGAGAAATCTATCAAATTAATTGCTGAAGAAAAAAGCATCAAAATTTTAAGAGAGATGTTTCGTGTTTTTTGTAACTTCTGCGTTTTAATTTTTTTTTTTCATAGTGGTTATTAAACTATACATCAGATTTACAAGACTTTTTAGATTAAAATTTGTTTAATGGAATTATATCATTTCTTCTTTCGTCATCATCATTTTTCAAAAACAAAAGTAAAGTTGAAATGAGGAATTGTAATTAACGTGACGGTAATAATTGATTGCTGCACTTCATCATTCTATTGGCTCATCCTTGTTAACATGAAAAGAGCTTACCACCTTTCTTTGGATGTATAACGATGACAAGTTGTAAAAATGTGTGTGGCATACCTCAGTTTTTTACTTTAATATTAGGAAAAATCGGTATCCCCCCAATAAATAAAGAATGCTCATCAGATTTTATTAGTCCTTTGTAATGGATTGACATTCTTCTAAATTAATTTTTTTCAAAGATTAATTTAAAGGTGTGATGATGACAGCCGTTTATCAAAGTCATAAGAGATTGAATGAATGAAGATAGAAATGATTTCAAAATCCCTTAACCATATTAGCGATTGAAATGTAAATACTTTATTAATATCTGATATACCTTGCTTGCAAGCAGTAGACAGAGTGATACTAATTAAATGAAGGCCATTTAAAAAATGGAACGTATAGCTTAAATGATATTTGTGCGCTACAGCATAATTTCTTTTAAATTTTAAACTTTAAATTTTGATTTATAAAGAATTAATTTTTATTAAAGAAAAGCTTTTTGGGCAAGCTTTGTTGGACAAGCTTTTTTGTATAAACTATACTCTTATAAAAAATCTTAAACGATAAAATCAGTGATAAAAGTGCAAAGTAAACGATTTAGAAATCTGTAATTGGTCTCTTGTTGACCCATGCCTTAATTCTCGGCATCTGTCCAATTTTGACAACGAATTCATTTAGCTTCGGATAATTAGATGTCATTTCTTGGAAATAGTAGAGTATATGAAAAACTGCCAAATCTGCCAGGGACATCTAAAAGTTCAACGTTTAGAAAAGTATAACCTTCAGATTCATATTTTTCTAATCTTTAAATTGACAATAAGTGTAAAAATTGCTGTGATATATGAGAAAAAATGTTTTTATGCAAGAAAAAAGTTTCACCTTATTTCCAACGAAATATGGACTGTGACTGTTTAGCAGAAATTGTTCATATCGTTGCATGAATGGAGTAATAGTTTCTTTAACAAGCGTTTCGAACATTTCACTCTAAATTTCCCAAATTAAATCCTTCGAACAATTTTTTGAATTGAATTTCATCATGCAGTATCTTACTACACATTCATTACTAAGTTAAATTTTGCATTCCAAGCTCTAAATTACTAAAATGTTTACTTCTTGCATATATAATGATGAGTAGAACATTTAGCAAAGGGAGATAAAAAATAGGATTCTACAGATGAAGTAAAATGATAAGTAATCAACGGCATACAAATTTACCTTTTTGGTACCCTTTTCTTCATGTAACCATGGCTGCATTTTCACCCAAACATCTTCTAAGTTGCAAATAATTTCATCAATTTTTGCTGCTTCCCATTCATTTGTTCCCAACAAGTCTTTAATTTCAAGCAGTATTATACTTCATTAAATTCTGAATTTTAATTTTCTTTAAAAAACTTTTGATTCATTACCGAATTTTCGAGCCAAATATCTTTCGATAGCGTGACTCTCTGCTAGTATTTTGCCACTTACATTCAATATTGGAACATGTCCATATGGCGTTTCTAAAAAGTTAGTATTGAACTGCAAAGTTGCTAGCATTCCATAATGTTTACTGATAGCATTCTGACATCAATTTTCAAATCCGAGTTATGGTAGAAGACTAACTAGGTTTTAAAGCTGGCCATTCTGCTTTGCTGATACGGATATCCTCGTAGCTTACATTTGCTTGGGCGAATAACAATCGTGTTACTTCGGCGCGGCCTCGGCCATTAAAATAAGTCAATTTGAATGATTCTGTTTCAGGCAACTACAATATAATTAGCATATTAGCTTATATAAAGAAGTTTGTGTCGTGCCTATTGTAATAAGGATTTCAGGATTTGGCCTGTCCTAATTCTGATATTGCATTGTATTCTTAGGCATCATGCAATATACAAGCAAAATTTGAGAAAGGTATGTCTCTATCCACAAAAATTTCTGTCTAGAAATAAATTTCTGCCTGAACAGATAACAAAAAAAATCTGAATAAATAAAAAAAGTGCAAAAAAATTTGTCTTGAAGCAAATAACATAAACAACCACTGCATTAAAATGTGAAAACCTAAATTAAATTTATGATTTTTTAGTAAATGCCAGATGAAACATAAACACTTTCCATTCTCTATATTGGCATGAAAGGAACATTGAAAAAATATCCAACATACATTGAAAAAAATATGTCAGAATGCAAGGGTCTACAGATTTAAACTATATCACTGTAATAAAAATGATGGCCGATAAGTTAACAATATTGTTGCAAAAGATATTGCATAACTATGTTTGACGAATATAACAACGAAATTAAACTTTTTGCTCGGACTTTAGTAATGTAATAAATGATGACAGAAAGTGTTAAGAAACTCTAAGTAAGAGTGCTGAATATTTTTTTAAATATCAGCAGCAAAAAATGTAGGCGAGAAGTTTTTCTTTTTTACCAACTATCAAATACCATTTTAAAATAAAATACCTTTCTGTATTATTTGAGATGAAACCTGAACGATAATTCTAGCTATTGATTTAAAAAAGAAAGTGCTTTTTTAATGTTTTGTAATTATTTCGGATTTTTGAATGGATATTTTAAAATTATTTCTTATCGATAAAATTATTCTTACTGATGAAATGTTTCTTCTTACTATTAGATTATTCTATTATATTTTTCAAGTTCTGCTTATTTATAACAAATAATATTTTTGAATTTTCATTGAAATTAACAAAATTTTAATTAAATTGTTCAAACAATGAAGTGATAATACCCACCATTTTTCTTCTTTGACTATTTTGAATATGAGGAAAAAAATCACTTAACATTAAGTGAAAAAGTTAATGAAGGGATGTGGATGGATTTAAAAATACAGTTGATGTTACTGCATTACAGTATACTGAAGCACGTAGTGTTTCTTATTACTAAATAATTTATAAACCCACAAAAAAAAAGGAAAAAATGATAGTTGTAACAAGCGTTTTATTTATCTTCATTTAAGAAACTAAAAATTTTTTTAGTTTTTTCATAACTTCTCGAAATGCATTTTTTTAAATTTTCTCAGTCTTATGAAAATTTCAGCAATGATTACATTAAAATATAGCTTTTACTTAAATCACAACTTTTCATTCTTTTGTTCATCTCGACTTTCACGAACATTCATTTCAATTTGATTATGTATATAATAATGAATGCAGTAATTTACACTTCTGACACATGCGCTTTCTCGATTCTACGCGTATGAATAAACTAAATCATTTTCCGATATTTTTTGAATTTCTGTGCTAATTCATAATGTTGAATCTTTTAATTTGTCTGATAGACTTTTGGTCACTTCAAAATCATATTCCTTTCGAAAGTTATTGAAAATAAGAGTAGAACATCAACAAGAAGATGGCCTCATCGTCCTTTTTATACTACCTTCACCAAAGTGTAATTATCCAGTTTGATTGGTTTTTAACAAATCAAAATGATTCTGGAAAAATGCTATCATTTCTGTAAGAAGCGAAGTAACAGAAGCCATAAAAAAGTTTCTTAACTGAAATAATTCGTATTTGTTTTTTTGAAGAGAATAAAACGATCTTGTAATATATCAAATTTTCCTTTATAACTGTTTAGAATTCTTCCAGAAAAAAGGCAAATTACATAAATTTCAGCATTACATAGTATGACTGTTTCATTCAATATTGGATTTTCAATTACTCGATTTAAATGATATTTCCCAAAAATACAATTAGGAAAAGGAATAAGAAAGAGTATAAAAATACTTTAAAAATACTGTTTTAAAATAAATAAAGATTGTATCACTTTTGAATAAACAATTTTGAAGTATTTTCGAACATATTGAGGGTTTTTATATTGAACTATTAATGTTATTTGGAGCTTTGCAACATTTTTAAAATTTTGCTACAAATATTTGTTAAATACAAGAAAAAATTAAATCCTTTTTTTCAGTAGCTAAAAAATTGTTCTTGGAAAATTTCTAACGAATCTTTTCAACTTTATATTCTAATAAATTCTAAGTTTTAACAATATTTGGAATGCAACATCAGAATAAGTTGGAACAAAGGAATACCAATTATTCAATAAAATGTGCTTTACATTATTTGATCTAAAATGGCAATTTCTGTTTTGCATTTCAAATGGTCAAGAGAAGAAAGATATATATCAATTAATATGTTTTAGGCATAAATGACATCATTTGCATTCAAATCACTGAAGATGATATGTAAGGTGATTTCTATAGTAAACTGATTTCTATAATTACCTTATTTTTGCTCTCAGATGTGATCTTTGAATTTTTCGTCTCATTACTTCTTTCAGAGACCGATACAGCAACAAAATTCTGAAAATAAATGCTAGCCGCTGAAAGTTGCATTATTTCTATTTTTAAAACTCTTCATACAATTCATTCCTTACCTCTGCAATAAAAGCCATCAATATGATGAAAATATGGAAATTATTGACGGATGGCATGTTCTTGTCGAGAGGACCAACTAACAGGACAATGAAATAAACGACCTGTTCTGGAAACCTTATTAAGTGAATGATATAATTCTTCTTAGTGAACACTTTTAACTTCCTTTTTTGTTCCGCCTCTGAATGAACCACTTGATGTTTATCTATATAGGAGTTTTGGTGTGTACGTGTGTGACACGTCCTTTTGTATGTTTTCCTGTTTCGCAAATAACTAGGAATCGTCCCTGTCAAGAAAGAAATTTTTTTTTCAAAATTTTAAACGAAAAATAATTTGAAAATCTTGTATTCGGCATCAATCGCAAAATATCATGAAATTTTCTTTATTTAAAAGTTCCTCAAAGAATTTCTAGTTTCTCCATTCCAATTACATCTGCTAAAAGGAAATGATTAATCGACTGACTTTTATCATCGTCTCACATCTAATGACAAATAAAATGCCATGGCATGTTGTATTATCAAATTTAAAATCATTTTGTGAGTTTAATGAACCCTTATAAAAACAACGAAAAGTTTTTTAATAACGTCTCTTAAAAAATATGCTACTAAATCCAAAAATATTAACTCTGCTTTGCAATAGAATTTGTGAATCCGAACATGTTAGCTTGTTGCGAAGAAATAAATTTTATTAAGTACTCGAATGTTTCTCGACTTCTTTTTTGGAATCATTTCAAAATAATAGCAAATCAACAGGAATTTTTCTTTATTTGTGTATAATTTTAGCTTTTCAGTTTATCTTATGAGAAGGCTGGAAAAACTTTAAAATAAAACGAATTTACGGTGTATTGCACACTGTCATGCTTCCATGTCATTAGTGCTTTTAACATATTTCATATACGAAAGTTGTACATATATTAAACCTTATATGATTTGGTGTATATCATATAACAGGTTAATTGATCTGATTTCTGCCATACTTTCTCGAGATAAAAATGCGATTTCTCTCGTTTTATAACTTCATTTCTAAAATAATTAGTATGTAGCACCGGCAATTTTTCACAGGAGCAAGTTAGCTTACTTTTCCGTAACACACCGTATATTAAATAGAAAAATAAAAAGATCAAACTTTTTATTATAATATGAGGAAAAGTTTGCTATATTTTATTCTGATCCTTCTCTTTATTATTTTAGAAAGGTTCAAAACAATTTGAAAATGAAAAATATTTATGTCATATTTATGGGACTTATACAATATGAACTGCCTGGTTTGCATTTTAAATAAAAAAGTTGATGCCAAAACATTAACTGAATTTTTTAAAATAAATCTCATTTTAAATTAGTTGAAGAATTCTTTTTGCTTACAATACGAAGTTGCTTCTTTTAGATCTATTCCACCAAAAATGAATGAAATTATGAGGCCGAGTAATTAAAAGGATAAAAAGCAAAATAATCTATCTGTTGTGCCGTTGAAAAAAAAATCATTGCACTTTTAAAAGCCATTGGTTATAGATCGCTGAAAATCTCTTTCAAAAAGAATTATAAAAACAAAACTTGAACTATGATCTTCCAAAATCCAATGCACTTAA